AGATTTGGGATTTGGAAGATTTGGGATTTGGAAGATTTGGGATTTGGGAGATCTGTGATTTGGGAGATTTGGGATTTGCGAAATGTATTCAAAATTCGAGTAAAATAGCCAAAGTATAAGTACGTCACGAATCATACTCGTCAAAATACTATAAAGGGTTAAGAAAATAAGCTAAGACCTTGAAAACATTCCATAATATTAAATAACCAAACTTAACCAAATAAAATAATAATCTAAAACAGCGAAGTGAATTAGAAAGTGCGACAGAGTCGAAAGTGATACTTTTGCGAGATATTGTATATACCAAGGTTCAAGAGCTTGATCGCCTTGAAAAATTTGTCCTCGCCGCTGAGGTCCTGTCGTGGCCTCTTGGTGCAGTGATATTTAATGTATGGAAAGCAGCCGGTTCTAAGTACGTGGTAATTGCTGCTGCCTACCGGCCAATTGAAGTGGGACATCCCCCTTTGATCGTTCACCACGTCGGCATACTTCACGAAGTACGATGTCCACGGTGGCTGGTTCGTTTGCAGCAGGTAGCTCGTTAAGACCTGTTTGTACCGTAATGACAACGAGTTACTTAGTGCATCCTTTGGCCCATCTGTTGGATGAACGTTCTTTCGTCGATCGTTCAACGGCCGCCGGGTGTCTTCGCGTACCGTTAACTATTGCCCGCTTTCATCGAAACGTCAGCCGACGCGACGGTGTCGAATTGAAAACGCGGGCTCGCATTCCTGACGGATCGATGGATTCGTAGGAATCGATCGATGCGACGACGATGACGGGAATTCTCACGGTCGGTAAATTAACGAGAACGGAAATTCTTGGTAGAGATATTGCTGCGATGACGCAGGGAAGCTGCGGTATATGACGGCATGCTTGTGGAATTTTTTGAAATTGTTTTCGATGTTCTGACTTTATTTTTGCGAAACTGACTTTATCCTCTTTAAGAAAAATAAGGAAAGTGGAAGGAATATGGAGAAAAGTGAGGTTTATTGAAATTATACTGTGATCAACGTTTTAGCATAATAACTCATGATTTTTGGTGATTATTGGTATTCAAAGTTTTAGTTACTTGACAAACTTATTTAGTTACTTGTCTAATAGTTACTTGTCAGATAATTCTCTTTAACTAGCTACTTGTCTGATAAGTACCTGGCAGATAACTTCCAGACTGATAATTGTCTGTCAGGTTATTAGTCTGATGAGAATCTGTCAGATAATATTTATTCTTATAAATATTTGTCAGAGAGAATTAACAGTACTATAAATGTTCGACAGTTAGCATAGTTCTACAAGTATCTGTTAGATAACTAATAGTCTTATAAACACTTGTCAGATAACTAACACTCCTATAAATGTATGTTAGATAAGAAATAGTCTTATAAACGTTTGTCCAACAGCTATCAGTACTATGAATATCTGTTATGTAACAGTTTTAGAAATATTTCTCAGATAATTAACACTCCTGTAAATATCTGTTAGTTAACTGACAGTCTTATAAACATTCGTCGGATAACTAACAGTCTTATAAATATCTGTTAGATAAGAATCCTAGAAATATTTCTCAGATAATTAACAGTCCTACAAATATCTGTTATATAACTAACAGTCTTATAAACGTTTGTCAGATAGCTACCAATCCTATAAATCTCTGTTAGGTAACTGACTGTTCTATAAACATTTGGCAGATAACTAACTGTCCTATAAACATTTGTCACCTAACTAACTGTCTTATAAATATTTGTCAAATAACTAACAGACCCATAAACATTTGTCAGACAGCTACTAGTCCTATAAATACCTGTTAGATAACTACCAGTCCCATAAACAACTATCAGATAACAAACAAACCTATAAATACCTGTCACATAGATACCAGTTCCATAAATACCTGACAGATAACTACACAAGTGATGATTAAGTGCCAAAATATTATCAATTCAATAGTTATCGGTCTGAATATTATACAGTCACACATTTTGCCTTTGTAATATACTTAAATATCTACGAAACTTGCCTCAGAAGCTTTTGGTTTAGTTTTCGAAATATTCCTCCAGGAAACATATGGACGAATGACTAGTGTCTTCCGACCATAGAGTGCCTTTAGGTTCATTCGGTGGATGATTATTAACCAGCTTACTATGATCAAGCTTTTCCAAGAAGTTTCATCTCTTCCTGCTGTTCAGATCCTCCTGTGCCTGCAACCACAGAATTCATGTTAAAACCATCACTGATGAACCTCTTAAAATCATACGTATATTACCAGATATATCTATAATGGTTGGTATTCTTTCTCAGGATTTATTATTTTCCAATACGCCATACCACAATCAACTGGTTATTGGCAGCAACGTTTACTGAGGTATTTTTAAATATGCGCCGCCTCCGAAAAGGTTGAAATGTATTTAATATACTACCTAACGAGTAAATAGGTTTCATTCATATCTGTTACGTAATTGTATGATTGAATGAAATAGAAATTACTTCATTAGGAAATAGAAATTATTTTATACTTTTTAGTGCATTTCGAAGTCGGCGTATTTTTTTTGTTAAAATTATTTTATCATCTGCCTAAAGGTATTGTCCCCCTTAATATAAAAATGAATATACCACTACTGCCAGTTAAGTACCTGCCAAATTAAAGTTCTTAGAAATAAATATTCTCTGAATTTTTGTACGAGGAATCTCTTTGTTTTCCCAAAATACTGGGTCTTGAATGAACCACATAGTGGGTCTTGAAGACCCACTCTGCGCGGGAACCTCGTTTAATGGCCTCACTGTCGAGACACCCAGTATGATAATTGCTTAACGGTGGAAATGGAATATCGCGCGGAGAATGTTCACGGCAGTACACATATGGTTTAGGTACGAGTGTCTCGAACAACGCTTTATTTCACCTTTCTAAAATAAGCGCTCTGTAGAAAATGTCAAGGTTAACGAGGATCAATTCGATCGGCTAACGGAAGATCGTTTCACAGCGTTATTTCGCGCTCACGGACCGTGAAAGTACGATGAATTGTAATTGATTGTGCTTGCACGAGTGTTTATTCGGTGACTGATTCCGTTGCTTTCGCTGTCAACGAGTTAGTCAATCGAGACGTAATATTTTTCATAATACTTTTGAAAGGTATCGACCCTGTACCGTTACTCCTTCAACGTTTTAACGTTAACCTGTAATTGTGTGGATACGGGTTCATGTTCGATAAGTCGTTTGCGAAATATAATCGCTGATAATTAAGTTATTATCTTTGTAAGGTATGGGAACGAGGTATTTCGAATCTGATAGCTGAGATAATTAGGTGGAGTAAGTGGAATTTTTGAGATATTGAGGTATGTGAAGTTGGAATACGGAATTTGGAAATTAAAAAATTTGGGAGATGGAAATTTAGGTGTAGTATAATTTCAAATTTTTTAATTGAGATGTTACAAAATTTGCTAATTTTTGAGGTAAAAATTTGGGAAGGTGTGAAAGTGGAAATATTGAAACTTTGAATTTTGGAGATTTGGAAATTAAAAATGTGGTAATTTGGTATTTTGTAAATTTATAAATTTATAAATTTATAAATTCATCTGCCTAAAGGTATTGTCCCCCTTAATATAAAAATGAATATACCACTACTGCCAGTTAAGTACCTGCCAAATTAAAGTTCTTAGAAATAAATATTCTCTGAATTTTTGTACGAGGAATCTCTTTGTTTTCCCAAAATACTGGGTCTTGAATGAACCACATAGTGGGTCTTGAAGACCCACTCTGCGCGGGAACCTCGTTTAATGGCCTCACTGTCGAGACACCCAGTATGATAATTGCTTAACGGTGGAAATGGAATATCGCGCGGAGAATGTTCACGGCAGTACACATATGGTTTAGGTACGAGTGTCTCGAACAACGCTTTATTTCACCTTTCTAAAATAAGCGCTCTGTAGAAAATGTCAAGGTTAACGAGGATCAATTCGATCGGCTAACGGAAGATCGTTTCACAGCGTTATTTCGCGCTCACGGACCGTGAAAGTACGATGAATTGTAATTGATTGTGCTTGCACGAGTGTTTATTCGGTGACTGATTCCGTTGCTTTCGCTGTCAACGAGTTAGTCAATCGAGACGTAATATTTTTCATAATACTTTTGAAAGGTATCGACCCTGTACCGTTACTCCTTCAACGTTTTAACGTTAACCTGTAATTGTGTGGATACGGGTTCATGTTCGATAAGTCGTTTGCGAAATATAATCGCTGATAATTAAGTTATTATCTTTGTAAGGTATGGGAACGAGGTATTTCGAATCTGATAGCTGAGATAATTAGGTGGAGTAAGTGGAATTTTTGAGATATTGAGGTATGTGAAGTTGGAATACGGAATTTGGAAATTAAAAAATTTGGGAGATGGAAATTTAGGTGTAGTATAATTTCAAATTTTTTAATTGAGATGTTACAAAATTTGCTAATTTTTGAGGTAAAAATTTGGGAAGGTGTGAAAGTGGAAATATTGAAACTTTGAATTTTGGAGATTTGGAAATTAAAAATGTGGTAATTTGGTATTTTGTAAATTTATAAATTTATAAATTTATAAATTTGTAAAATTGTAAAATAATTTAAAAAATTTGAAATTTGGTAATTTGGAAATTTGGTAAATTTGTAATTTGGTAATTTGGAAAACTTGGAAAACTTGGAAAACTTGGAAAATTTGGAAAATATGGAAAACTTGGTAATTTGGAAAATTTGGAAGGTTTGGAAAATTTGAAATTTGCTCATTTGGAAATTTGAAATTATAAAAATATCTACTTTTCAAATTTCTAACCTCCCAAATTTCCATCCCTCATTTTCAATTTTAATTTCCAAAGAAAGAAACAGAGTATCAATACCAGTCATAGTAATCCCTAATATTAAAAATAGAATTAAACTGAAATATAAAAACTTAATAACCCTCAACTCAATAAATCCACAAAAATGAAATAAATAAAAATAAATAAATAAACCTTCATCAATAACACATAAAAACTCTCAATAAAAGTTTCTCCTTAATTACATTTCAAATATCGCGCCTGTTTCATTAATTCAACATTGGTAGCACTGTTACTCACTTTTCGGCGCATGCGCAGAGCACTCGATGTCTAAGAAGCACGCACGACGGTAGCGTGTTATTTTTACGTTTCGCAATTCTCCGTTTCACTTGTTCTGTTGGAGATATGTCTGTTCAGACACTATTTACGTTATCATAACTTAACGTTGATAGCACACACGCACTGTGCACGCGTATAAATCACGTGTATTGCGAAACGATTATAAACGCAGTAGCTGTTGATACGGGTGAATAAACGGATACGATCTGGCGCTGCCATCGGATATATTGATCTTCCGGCGCGCGATTTTTAAACGACTTTTTCATAGCGGAAGATATTTAAACATTTCTTATAATAATAGAATTATTTGAAAATTAATATATACATTTATAAACATTTATAAACATTTGTTATAAACATTTATTTATGTAATTGAAGATTTAAATTATTATGAAAATAAATGTAATTTAGAGTATACATGTACTACACTATAGTATAGTGATTGATAAATAAATTATGATAAATGATGAACACTATTGATTATATTTGTTATAACTATTTTTTTCAGTTTTTAAAATATATAATCATCTGTAATTTAGTGAAATTTAATTTTATGACAAATAAAAGTTTGAATTCGAACTGAAATGTTTGTATTATAATTTATTACTCTTAAAAAACATATTGTTATTGTTTTAACTGTAACAATAATTTCAATGAAAATAATAATTGTAATATTAATATTAAATAAATATTAATATTAATTAATATTAAATAAATATTATATATATTTAATATTAAAATTTGTTATTTAAATATACACCTCAGGAAATACTTTCTTGTCATTCAAAAACATGTCCTTACAAATCTCACAATTTTAAATAAACTTCGTAAGACAAATAATTCCCTGTCTCAAAATATAAAAATATTCAACAAAAACCATGAAGTACCTCGCCTCATTTTGCTCCTTTCATTTCAATTTTATTCAAAGTACAATTTTTTTCTCACAAACCCGGTTTAGGTATCTATTATTTTTTATTGCCGTCTGTTCTCCGTTATCAGTTTTTAACTTCGTGACTTCTGACGATTTTGGGTCACAGTACTAGTACAATGGCGTGTTCAAGCTGACAGGATAACGGTATCGATATCACATTTCCGGCGCAAAAGGTATGATTTACCACTGCTCTGGTTATTCGTTTATCCCGGTTCGTAATGGTTACATTCACGACTTTAAACGGAGCTACGGTGACTGTGTAACTTTGTCTTGATAAATGCAAAATTTATACTTTTCAAAGATTTAATTTTAACTCGTGTTTAATAAAATGTATAGTAATGTTTATTTTTTTCTAACTTTTTCTATTTTTTATTTGTTTCAGGTAAGTTTCAGTGCTTCAGTGAATCAGCGATAATTTCTGCAGGTAGATGTAGGTAATTTTAAAAATATGTATATAAATGTTTAGTCGAATGAAACTATGTATGTAAATATAGAGCCAAGTGAAATTAGTATTAATTTGAAAGATATTTAAGTGAAAAGAAATTTATAAATTTATAAATTTAGGAATTTACTGGTTTGAAAATTTAGATAGCTGAGTTTTTGAAAATTTGGAAACTAAGAAATTTAGAAATAAAAAATTTAGGGGTTGGAGAATTTAATTAGCTGAGTGTTTAGAAATTTGGAAATTTGCAATTTTAGAAATTTAGAGGTTTGAAAGTTTAGGTAGCTGAGTATTTGGCAATTTGGAAATTTGCAATTTTTTAAATTTAGGTGTTTGCAAAATTAAATAGTTGAGTGTTAAGAAACTTGAAAATTTCGCAACTCCATGATTTGAAACATTGGACAGAAAAATATGCATTTGAAAAACTATCCAAACTATTAAACTTCTATATTTCAGAATTTCACTTAAACTTCCAAAATCTCAAAATCTCGAAACATTCCTTAATTTTCAAAATCTTAAAAATTCAAGCCCAGTAAACATCATAAACCCTTAAAACTCCCCATATTCCCAAACCAAAAGAATCCCATCTCCTCCTCCTCGAACCGTTGAACCATCACTGAATCTGAAATTCGCTTCGAACTCGAGATTAGAACCGCTAGAATTCGCACCACGTCCAGCATCGTTTACACGTAAACGGTATCGCTACAGGTCGTTCGGCACGTAATAAATTACTCGCGATTTTTATTAACGACGTCTCGGGTTACATTTATTTACATAAGCAACGTTCTTCGCCGTTGCATCCCGTGCGCTAACGAACGAGCCGGGTCCAGGTAACGTGGCTAAGTATTATCAGGGGAACAGGAGAAACGACACGGGTCCTGCGCTTAAGAACACGTAAAGAAGCATCCTTGTCATATTGTATTACATTGATGTGCTAATCCGGCTCGGGGAACAGGAAACGCTTATCAAGCTGCAGGTATACAGGGCTACGATTACATCGGGGCTAATCGACCGGCTCTTTGGAAAAATTCGGACTTCAAGTCAGCCTCATTTATCGAGGGATGTACAGTCTATTGCAAAATACAACTGCTGCAGAATGTGACAATTAAGGGAGTCTTTGAAAATTAGGCGAATCTTATTTGAGGCCTCCCATCTGCTTCATCCACATACAATTAACACTTTGAGTACTGAATTATTTGAATATTTTTATGCCCACGGGACGGATTTAATTTGTCGCTATATGGATTAACACTAGAACTACCAACCAGTCAAAATGACTGGTTTCAGATTTCTCATTTTATATTACAAAATTTTATTGTCGTGATTTTATGGAAATGTCTGTCATGTTTTGTTGAGAGGAAAACTAATTCTATATGCTACCTGATGCTTTAGTATTTATTTATTAACCTTTCCATTTTATTTTTCATTCTTCGATAAACGAGCATTTAATGTCGGTAGTTCTAGTGTTAATATGTAAAAGTAATACATTTTATTTGGAATATACTTGTATTGGTGATATAAATATATTTTTACAACAGCATTTTAGTTACGAGTTGGTTCTTGTTACAATATAAATAAATATATAAATGAAGTAAAATAGAAATATTTATATAGAACAAGAACCAGCTTAAAGTCTAATGACGAGTCAGACTCGTCCACCGTAACTTCTCCCAAGTAAACAGAGTCTCGCTTGTCAAATGTACCCAAAGGGTTAAAAAAGAACACATTTGCAATTCTCTGGGTCCCCAAATTCTCTAAATGTCCCAATCCCCAAATCCTTTAATCATAAATTCCAGAATTACAAATTTCATAATCCTATATACACATATTCCAAATCTCCAAATCTGTAGGTCCCCAGATTCTCCAAATGTCCCAATCCTCAAATACCCAAATTCTCCAAATGTCCCAATCCCCAAATCCCAAATCTCCCAAATCCCAAATCTCCCAAATCCCCCAAATCCCAAATCCCAAATCTCCCAAATCCCAAATCTCCCAAATCCCAAATCTCCCAAATCCCAAATCTCCCAAATCCCAAATCTCCCAAATCCCAAATCTCCCAAATCCCAAATCTCCCAAATCCCAAATCTCCCAAATCCCAAATCTCCCAAATCCCAAATCTCCCAAATCCCAAATCTCCCAAATCCCAAATCTCCCAAATCCCAAATCTCCCAAATCCCAAATCTCCCAAATCCCAAATCTCCCAAATCCCAAATCTCCCAAATCCCAAATCTCCCAAATCCCAAATCTCCCAAATCCCAAATCTCCCAAATCCCAAATCTCCCAAATCCCAAATCTCCCAAATCCCAAATCTCCCAAATCCCAAATCTCCCAAATCCCAAATCTCCCAAATCCCAAATCTCCCAAATCCCAAATCTCCCAAATCCCAAATCTCCCAAATCCCAAATCTCCCAAATCCCAAATCTCCCAAATCCCAAATCTCCCAAATCCCAAATCTCCCAAATCCCAAATCTCCCAAATCCCAAATCTCCCAAATCCCAAATCTCCCAAATCCCAAATCTCCCAAATCCCAAATCTCCCAAATCCCAAATCTCCCAAATCCCAAATCTCCCAAATCCCAAATCTCCCAAATCCCAAATCTCCCAAATCCCAAATCTCCCAAATCCCAAATCTCCCAAATCCCAAATCTCCCAAATCCCAAATCTCCCAAATCCCAAATCTCCCAAATCCCAAATCTCCCAAATCCCAAATCTCCCAAATCCCAAATCTCCCAAATCCCAAATCTCCCAAATCCCAAATCTCCCAAATCCCAAATCTCCCAATCCCCTAATCCCCCTATCCCCCAATCCCCCCATAACCAAATCCCCCCAATCTCCAATCCCCCAATTCCCAAATTCCTCACTCACAAATTCCGCCATCCAAAATTTCACAACCCAAAATCCGCAACTCCCAAATCCTCAAACCCCCAAATCCCTAAGCTCTCGAACCCATAAATTCTCTAACCTCAAACCGTCAAAAGTCCAAGCGTACTTCCCTCTCGTAAGCATCCTCGTTCTCAGCGCAACAAAGACGTGTCGGTCATAATGAAGGAGTAAATCCAGCGCAACGAGGCGGATGGCCGTTACACCGTATATCTCGCGGAAATCGTAGACTCTCATCAAAATAAGTAACGCGTTGCCTGCGCCGCCATCTTATGCCTCATCCGCTCGGCGGTTCCTGTGTGTATGCCAATGCGCAACCATAAACGGTCGCACATTCAACAAGAATATATCCGCCGAGGTAGGTGTAAATACGCGCAAATAGAGTGTTTCAGAAATACAAACCGCCCTGGCAGGATCGTGTTTCCGCGAAATTCTCGAACGAACGGCGATCCTGCAGCTCGGTTATGAATCCTTGGATATAATTACGGACGGCAACGGGAAAACTTTATTGCAACGACACCTACTTCGAATGGGAGATCACGGTGAAATGCAGCTGTCTACCTGTTTTCCTTGCGTCTATGGATTACTTTGTACGCAAATGGAAGATGAGCCAGAGGAAACTGGAATTGTGAAATGCGGTTAAATGTTTCTGAATTTTAATTGTGATGATGTAAATACCAGATGTTTTTCATGTTGTTAATTGTAAATAGGGATTATGAAATTTGGGATTCTGGAATTTATGCTTGAAGGATTTGGGGATTGGGACATTTGGAGAATTTCGAGATCAACGAATTTAGAGATTTGAGAATTTGAGGATTCAGAAGTTCGAAAATTTGAGGATTTGGGATCTGAAGGTTTTGTAGTTTGGAATTTGGGATTTGGAGTTGTGGAGATTTGAGCTGTGGAGGATTTCGAATTGAATTTGGCGTATTTAGGAATTTAGGAGTGATGGATTTGAGATATGTTTGAGGGATTTTTAATTGAAATTAAGGTTTCGAGATATAAAAAATTGGGAGATTTGT